AAACTCCACCGCATCCTTTGCCTTCCTCTGCCACAGGCGGCGTGATCGAGGGTCAGGACATCGACTACCTGGCCTTCAAGTCCATGGAGAAGATGCCCAGCCGCCAGGAGCTCATGGCCACCATCGCGCGGCTGATCAATGGCGTGCCTACCAAGCTGGCGCGCTCCATCAAGGCGGTGCCCACCAAGCTGGCCATCAGCATCAAGGCCCTGGCCGACGCCGATGAGGACAAGTCGCAGCGTGTGGGCGACGTGCTCCCCCGCCAGCCCCCCACCGAGGCGGCGGTGTAGGCGTGAGGCGGCCTGGTCATGATGCGGGGTGCTTGTTGGATTTGATGGGTGAATCTCCGTCTGTCAAACCGAGAGGCTCCATGAAGCAGAGAACGGGTGTTGCCGAGGTATCGGGAGGGCAACTTCAAGTGGGATGCCCAATCCCAGCCATAAGAGGGCAGATGAACTGAGAATAGCAGGGCATGGTGAGGAGAGCGAGCACTGAAGGGGCAGTATACAAGGCCATTCAACAAACATGTGTCACGCGTCCGCGGCGTCGTCGAGCGCGGCGTCCATCTGCAATCGCCGCTTCTTCAGGAAGCGCACGTCCCCGCTGTCCATGCCCGCCGGCGCGGGGCCACCGGCCTCCGCCGCCGGCGTCGCCTCCCGCTCCCCGCCCGGCCGTTTGGCGCTGGCCGCCGCCGCCGCCACGCGCACGCCCGCCCTCCCCGGCTTGGGCAGCCGCTCCTGCGGCGTGGGGGCGGGGTCCACGCGGAAGTAGCGGTGCCGAAGCGCATCGGCGGCGCTGATGCGCTGCGCCGGCGCGAGGCACACCATGCGCGACAGCAGGTCCAGAGCGTCGTCGGGGGCCTGGGTGGCGGGAGAAAGTGGGGCAGATGAGAGGCGGGGCCAGGGCGTGGGTTGGTCATGATTCTAATCGAATGAAAATGCACCCGGGAATGACGTGGGAAAGGGCAGAGCGGAAGCGTGGGGATGGACGTTGAGGTTAGGAGCATTCACACACCACCCCTCTCCACCATCGCTGCTGTATCTGGCGGACCTCACGATTCCACATCACCCATCTCCTTACCACCCCTGCGCACACCTCCAACACCCCCTTCTCCCTCTCCCACCCCCCCACTCCCCAGCTCACCACCGCCACGTTGGGAAACAGGGAGCGCAGGGGCGCCGGGGGGGTGGGCTGGAACTCCACGAAGGCCGGCATGGCGCGCAGACCCCCCCAGTTCGCATCGCGCGGCGTCCCCAGGGCGGTGAAGATCTTGTTCAGCACGCCCACGTCGCTCTCGGCGGAGAACCAGGGGCGGCGCAGGAGGAGCTCCGCGAAGATGCAGCCTGCGGCCCACACGTCCACGCCCGGTCCGTAGCAGGTGCTGCCATAGAGGAGCTCCGGCGCGCGGTACCAGCGCGCGAAGACCTGGTGGGTGAAGGGGCGGTCGGGGGAGCCGTAGGGACGAGCCAGGCCAAAGTCGGCCAGCTTGAGCGCGCCCGAGGAAGCCAGCAGGAAGTTGTCGGGCTTGACGTCGCGGTGCACCACCCAGCGCGCGTGGCAGTGGGCCAGCCCCGCAAGGACCATGCGCAGGTAGGCCTTGACGTCTGCGCCGGTGAGCAGGACGGCGCGGTCGCGGATGACGCGCTCCAGGTCGGTCTCCATGTACTCGAAGACGAGGGCGATGCCGCGGCGGGAGGGCCAGACATCCAGCAGGCGCACGATGTTGGGGTGGTGCAGCTCCCGCAGCAGCTTCACCTCCCGCAGCGCCGTCACGTTCACCCCCTGTGATTGGAGAGGGGGGGGGGAGGGGGGAGGATCATCGTCACTGAGGGTGGGAGACAGAAGAGGCGGCCAGGCATGCGGGCAGGGAGGGCACAAGCGGACGCAAAGTGAGAGCTTGATCACGATCCGGAGCTGGAGCAGGGGTGCGGGCATCAGGGCATCAGGTCCACTGCAAAACTAGAGCTGCCTCGAGGAAAGCTTACAGCAACACCCCAGTACGCCCGCACCTCGCCCTTCTCGCCCACGCGTATCTTCTTGATGGCCACCAACTCCCCCGTCTGCAGTGGGAGCGCGTACATCCCGGGCATTGGTGGAGAGACCCGTGCATCTGGTCTGTCGAAGGCAGTGTGCGATATCAAGAGCATGGCGGTCAGAATGCTCCCCCAACCCTGTTCCAGGTGCTGCCTCACCTCCTTGTGTGTCCCCTGCAAGACCTCGCCGAAAGTACCCTTCCCCAGCAAGGGACCTTTTGTGTAATTCTCCATGGCGCCAGAGGCTCCCGGCCGCGCCTGTATTGCAGCGGGGATCGGCAGATCCTAGCCTTGTCGAGCGGGGTGCCGGAGTGAGAGGCAAGCTGTCCTGCCCGAGCAAGGCCGGGACGCAGCGCGTCGATCAGGGAGCATGTGGACTCTTTGATACCCTTCACATTGACAGCAGTAATGCGGATGAATGTCAGGAATGCTCACTTAAGCTCGAATGCAGCACTATCACCCGGTGAGATATGCGAGGTCGCGCCCAGACCTGGCAACAGGGGAGTTCGAACATCCGAGACCTCAATGAGACCCGATCGCACGCACCCTCGACCCACAACGCCATGGAATTCCCTTGGAGTGCGACCTGAGTCGATCATGCAGGTTGCATGGAGACATGCCCTCCTCTTGCTGTCCCTGCTGGCTGTCGTCGGCATGACCAGGGGAGCCGGGCCCGTGATGTATTGTAACTACACATCCCCCTGCACGCCCTGCATCACCCGAGCCTTCCCGTCCTGCAAGGAGACCGGTTTTATCAGGGTGAGATGCTCCCACTGGCGATTTCCAGGATGCATCGATCCCTGGTCGCACACCCTCAGAGCCGCATGGAACTGGTGAGGACCTTTCTTGAACCCCCTCCAATTCAAGCCCTTCGCAGGAATCCCAGTGCATCCTCTCAGCCAAGGCGCTGGCCTGCGACTACGTGAGCGCGCTGGGAAGCGGCCAGACCAGGGACGAGGAGCAGACTCAGGCCTGCACCCCCCGCCTCCGCCTCTCGCTGCCCGCCTTCGAGCTGTGCATGCTGGCCGTCCTGGGCGCCTGCATTCTGTTCATCCGCGCGCGAACGAGGATTTGATTCTGAAGTACATGCACGGCAGCAACTTTCAGGAGGACACACAGTGGAGATTTCGCTTATAGGAGAGGGGAGGGGGGTGAATCCATGCACAGAGAAGGGAGGGTCCCCTTAGCCCACCTCGCGCCCCGCTCAAGCGGTGACCTTTGACCGCCGCGCCGACGCGCGCTTGGCCGCGGCCTCCACCACGTTGACCTTCTGCAGAGCGGCGATTGGGCGTGTGGACCGAGTTGGGTCACACCTGACGAGCACAGCACTTGAGATATCTTCTACTGTGCAGGCTCCTGAACCTCAAAGGTGTGGCTCTCACTCACCCTGCAGACTCCCCCTTGCCCACCATCCTTCGTTGCCGCTCGTCTCCGCCTCCGGCCCCCCTTTTCCTCGTACAACCCCCCCATCTCACCTTCCTGGCCGGCTCGGCGGGGAGGACCAGCTCGTCGCCATGCTTGGCGATGAACCCGGTGTCGACATCGCCCGCCTTGAAGTACTCATTGTCGAGGATGAGCAGGTGGTAGGGCGCGGTGGTGGGCACGCCCGCGATCACCATCTCCGTCAGCGCGCGCTTCATGCGGTTGATGGCGGCGGTCCGGTCCTCGCCCCACACTACCAGCTTGCCCAGCAGCGAGTCGTAGTTGGAGGGCACCAGGTAGTCGGAGTATAGGTGGCTGTCCATGCGCACGTTGGGCCCACCGGGCGGCAGGTACGCGGTCACACGGCCTGGTGGGTGGGAGGGGGGTTGGGGGGGGACGGGGTGGGGCAGATGTGATGACTCGGCGCCTGCAGGTATGAGCGCGAGGCGGCGGGCACGATGGGTGTGCCAGCGTACTCGACAGGGTGCAAGTCCATCCAATCGAATCCATGTCCGGGCTTTGTCCATGCCACCCCAGGATGCCCGCCCTGGCCCCCACCATCACCGGACCCCTCTCACTCCACCCACACACCTGGCCCCGGCCTGAAGTTCTTGAAGGGGTCCTCGGCGTTAATGCGGCATTCAATGGAGTGGCCCTTGATCTTGATGTCCTCCTGGCCCAGGCGCAGGGGCTCGCCCATGGCCGCCCGGATCTGCTCCTGGATCAAGTCCACGCCCGTGATCATCTCCGTCACAGGGTGCTCCACCTGTTGATGTTGTTTGAGAGAGGAGAAGGGGGGAGACCGTGTTGAAGTGTTAACCTGGTTGAGAGCGCCTGTACAAAATGGGAGAAACCATGAAGGGGAAAGATGTGAAGAGAGTCTCAATCCGCCTCTCCACCAAACCCACCCACCTGGATGCGGGTGTTCATTTCCATAAAGTAGAAGCCCGCGGGCTCCCACAGGAACTCGATAGTGCCCACGCCGATGTAGCCGATGCTCCTGGCGGCGGCGGTGGCCGCGGCGCCCATGGCCTCCCGAACCTCCGGCGTGAGCACGGGGCTCGGCGCCTCCTCCAGCAGCTTCTGGTTGCGGCGCTGGATGGAGCAGTCGCGCTCCCCCAGGTGCACCACGTTCCCGTGCTTGTCGGCCAGCACCTGGAACTCGATGTGGCGCGGATCCTTGACATACCGCTCCAGGTACACCGCGCCGTTGCCAAAGGCGGCCTCCGCCTCGCCCTGCGCGGCGCGGAGGAGGGGCAGGAACTCCTCGCGCGTCATTGCAAGGCGCATGCCGCGCCCGCCACCCCCCGCCGTGGCCTTGATCATGATGGGGAAGCCGACGGCGTCGGCCACCTCCACCGCCTCCTCTGGCGAGTTGACCAGGCCGTCGGAGCCAGGGACAGTGGGCACGCCCGCGTTCTTCATCGTCTCGCGCGCCGTGGCCTTGTCCCCCATCACGCGGATGTGCTCCGAGCGCGGTCCGATGAACTCGATGCCGTGGTCCTTGCAGATGTCCACGAACGACGCGTTCTCAGACAGGAAGCCGTAGCCCTGGGTGTCGTAGAGGAGGGGGGGGGGGGGGGGGTGGTTAGGTAGTTGGTGAAGTGTGGT